GCAGCACCTTTTCTTTGCAAGAGCCACAACAATCAAACAAAACTAATAGTTTCCAAATAATTTGTAAATTTGTTATTACTGTATACTTATTATAAAGTGTTACCGATGTATCCATTAAAAAGTTATAAGTATCTTAAATAAGCACAAATGTCAGGGCAGCATCTCCAAGGCCTAACAAATGCCTCAGGATCAACTCCTGTTCATAACTCATCTGTGCATTTGTGCTCAACACTGCAGCAAATCATTCATGAATCAAACTGATCCAGTTCAACTCACTGACTCAATGATCCAGTCACAGCGGGTGTCAAGTTATCAACACACTGAATCTGTTCTACTGAAATGAGGCAGAAACCAAGAGTAATATGATCCTCGGAGCAAAGGATTTTACTGATGAAGTGAAAATAAAGCTATTGTAATCAAATTCACAAGGAAAGGAACAGTTTTTAAAACAGTTCACTGAAACATAATGTTCAAAGAAGTCATTAAGAAATGTAGGTATTATTTCGTTCTCATAACTGGAAAACAGCATTACAAAATCCCAGGTTTTCCGGGCTGGTTGGGAAGCCTGATTGTTTTCTCATCAGGTTTTTTGAGTAGGTCTTGTGTTCTTGGAGAAAATGCCACTGATACAATCGTACTACAGTATAGACGGGAAATATCTGCTAGCTATAGTTATGAAACACCTATTCATCCACATATTTGAACCTAGTGATTGAGCGAATGTGAAATTCAAACCTCAGTATGTTCAGTCGACAGTGTGAACTCTTCAGTCCATCAGAGAGCAGCTTCACTCCTGAATCCTGCAGGTGATTGTTACTCAGGTCCAGCTCTGTCAGATGAGAGTTTGATGATTCTAGAGCAGAAGACAGAGTTTCACAGCATGCTTCATCAAGACCACAGCCGTCAAATCTGACAAAACAACGTTTAGACAGATTATTTTCTGATGTTCAGTGATTCTGCAATAACTTATTGTAGCCTTCATAATCCTGACAGGAAAATATTTCACATAGTATTTTGATATTTAATTATTTAGTGAAGTAGAATTAAACAGCAGTCAGTGAAATTACTCACAGGGCTTTTCTGCAGCATCTCACAGCTGGGACGAGTCTCTTGTAGTCTGCTTGTGATGACGTGAACCTCTTTGGGTTGAACTCATCCAGCACCTTCTCTGACATCAGCAGTACTGAGGTCAGCACTGTGCACATTGAAGATGAGAGGTCTCTTCCTGGATGTGCATCTGAACTGAGGTAACTCTGGATTTCCTCATATAATGACTGATCTTTCAGCTCAAGTAAGCAGTAAAAAAGATTGACTATGGCTTCATCTGAGATACCATGCATATTTTGTGCTCGTTTAATGTATTCAGTTGTTTGTCTGATGCTCACACTGGTGTCTTTAGTGTGTTTGATCAGGCCTTTGAGCAGGTTCTGACTGGATTCCAGTGAAATGCCCATCAGAAACCGCAGGAACAGGTCCAGATGTCCTCTCTCACTCCGCATTGCTTTATTAACAGCCTTCTGCAGTAGCTCCTGCAATGTGATATTTTCCTTGGATTCATCAAAGAAAAACTGAAGCTCTTGCTTGTTCTTGTTCAGGTAGCAGAGGAACACATGCACTGCAGCGAGAAACTCTTGAACACTCAGATGCACAAAGCAGATGAACAAACCCACATACCGAGGAGGGATCTGATTGGCTGCTGCTGGTCGTGATGTCACCCAGACAAGAGCTGATGGAAGCAGCTTACCTTTGACCAGACTTGTGAACAGCACATCTACAGATGCTCTTTCCTCAACAGTGTTCAGTGTTTCACTTTTAAAGTTCAATGGCAGTCGACTCTCATCAAGTCCATCAAATATAAATGCTAGCTTATGTTCCTTATATAACTTTGATTTCTCCAGGTTCTTCAATTCAGGATAAAATTTCAGCAGAAACTCATGGAGATTGACCTCTTTATCTTTAATCACGTTGATCTCTCTGAATGGAAGCAGGAACACACAGTCTATATCCTGATTGGTGTTTCCTTCTGCCCAGTCCAGGATGAACTTGTGCACAGAGACAGTTTTTCCGATGCCAGCGACTCCCTTGGTCAGCACAATCTTCTCCTCATTGTTTTTCCTCAGTTCAGTAAGTATATCATTGCATTTGATTTGTTTGTCCTGTGTTTTTTTGTTCCCGAAAATATCATCAATCTTCAGAATCTCATGTTCGTGATTGACATCTTTCTTATCTCCCTCTGTGATGAACAGCTCTGTGTAAACAGTCTTGAGATCTGTGTCACTTTCTTTGTTGCCCTCAAAAATAAATTTTGCTTTCTTCGTCATGTTGTTTTTGTGAGTTTTCAAGAAGTTTTGCAGTTCTAAATTGAAAAACAAATCAATCAGATTGATAAAGCATTAAACAAATTGGAGAAATATTTTTCATATCAGCATGATCATCATTATTAATAACTGATGCAGACCGATTAAATTCATACTGCTTGAAACAGCACAGACCGTCTCTAACAGCTTGGTTTCAATTTTTGAATTTCTTAAAGTCTTTTTTTTTTATTGCATTGATTGAGCTCATCTTTAGGCCATGCTAACTAATGTTACTAAAAGCTGATTAACGGTCTTCACATCATCTAGCTCATTAAACAGTTTGTGAGACTGTATTTACAACATGTTTTGACCTGCTTTAAATCAACCTTTCCATGTGTGATTGTAATCATGGATTGATGACATTGAATCAATTTGGTGACAGTGCCACTTACTGGTCAACTTTAATAAACAACTGTATCACAATATAAGATGTTTAATACATTTTTAGACCTTTGTGAACTGGGTATCACTGGGGACACGCGGTAACACTTTATTTTAAGGACCAGTTCTCACTATTAACTAGTTTCTTATTAGCATGCATATTACTAGCATATTGGCTGTTTATTAGCACTCATAAAGCACATATTAATACCTTGTTCTGCATGACCATATTTTAGATCCCTTAATTGTACACCTTACCTAAACTTAACAACTACCTTACTAACTATTAATAAGCAGCAAATTAGGAGTTTGTTCGGGGAAAACCTTTAGTTAATAATGAATATGTGTTTCCTATTCAAAAGTGTTACTGGATGCACTATTCTATTCAATATATATATTTGTATAAGATCTGCCGCTGGTGTGACTGGCCCTGTAATGCTTGCAGTTATATTTTCTCTTGTTTCCATTTACAGACAGTGATTGATATTTATTCCAGATATGTTGTAAATTACCTCCAACAGGAACTGATGTCTTCATATTGCCCTCAGCCTGAGCTGTAAGAGAGAAAGAGAGAATTACTCACTGGGAAACATTTATTACACATTAATCACATCAGCAAAGCAAAGAGGAAAAGAGGTTTAAGTCAAACCATCACACTTGTAAATATTTACTCACATCACAGTCACAGTGAATGAAATGTTACCTTGCTTGTGTTCATTCTCCAACTGTTCAGCCAGATCATTCTGCTTCATCTTCCTCAGGATGTCCACCATGATCTTCACAGCTTCTTCTTGTCCAAAACACAACACCACTTTATCTACTGTGTCGAATATATCTGCCTTTTCCATTTCAGACTTTGATATACACTTATGATTTGCATTCATTAAGCGCCAGTGAAACTCCTTCAGTTCAGCTTCTATCAGCTCTTTCAGTGAGTCCACGAGCAGCTCTTTAACAGACGCCATCGTCCTTCACCGACACCTGCAGGACAAGAAGAAAAAGATCTGAATTACTTTCACTCTCAACATGTGGACCTAAGCGCTCAAATGTTATTTGGATTATGCATCTGTGAATGGAGATTCTGATATGAATCATCATAACGTTTTTTAAGCAAATCTGCAATAATTGCTTTGAGTTTTGTTAGCAAAAAACAAACTGCTGTACACAATGTCTCAATGCTGTCTGATACTGTACGTGTAGAATCGATACACTTTAAAATCTATATATCTCAGTATCACATGAAATAGTACAGTAATATTTACTAGACATGAAATGAATAATGATGTAGATGTTTCTCCACTGAACTGTGTCTTGAGCAGAAGTTCTGAAACTCTTTTCAATTCTGCATTTATATAGGACTCTGGAGGGCAAAGTTTTCTTTAGAACTTAAACCAGTTAAACCAGAACAATTTAAATAAACTAATGAAGTCAGTTTTTCAGACTCGAGATGAGAGTAAAACCATGTGGAGAATCACTGTCTGCCAGCAACAGACCCACACACAACATATCTGAAATACCATTGAGTCAAATAATTGACAAATTACAGATAAAAAAGCAGAGGCGGACGGTAGTGAAGTATTTTTACTTTACTTAAGAAAATTTTAAAAGTATCTGTAGTTTATCAGTGTTTTTCTTTGGAAAACTTTACTTCGCTACATTTCAAAGCATAATGTCATACTTTTTACTTCACTTCATTTCATAAATAAAAGTTGTTGTTTGTTTTACCTTTAATACTTAAGAACATTAAAAATGTAGTACTTTCTTGTACTCAAGTAAATCTTTGAATTACTTTTACTTGAGTAAAAGTAAGAAAGTAATAGATTTCTAATATAATTAAGTATTAAATTATATTTAATATGAAACGTAGTGCAGTAAAAAGTACAATATTACGCTTTGGAATGTTGTGAAGTATTTTTGTGAAGTTTTCTAAAGAAAAACACTCTGATAAAGTACAGACACCTGAAAAGTACTTTTAGAGCAGAGTAAAAATACTTCACTACTGTCCGCCTCTGAAAAAAAGACACAAACAACACTGAAAAACATAGATAAAGAAAGTAGGGCTGCACTTATCATGATTTTTCATGGCTGTTTACACTATTTCAAAAACAAATGGGCTGATTCCAATACTGGTTTATGATTTTAAGTAAACTTTAAACAAATTTATTTGTTGTTTAGGTAACACTAAGAACATTAAAAATGTAGTACTTTCTTGTACTCAAGTAAATCTTTGAATTACTTTTACTTGAGTAAAAGTAAGAAAGTAATAGATTTCTAATATAATTAAGTATTAAATTATATTTAATATGAAACGTAGTGCAGTAAAAAGTACAATATTACGCTTTGGAATGTTGTGAAGTATTTTTGTGAAGTTTTCTAAAGAAAAACACTCTGATAAAGTACAGACACCTGAAAAGTACTTTTAGAGCAGAGTAAAAATACTTCACTACTGTCCGCCTCTGAAAAAAAGACACAAACAACACTGAAAAACATAGATAAAGAAAGTAGGGCTGCACTTATCATGATTTTTCATGGCTGTTTACACTATTTCAAAAACAAATGGGCTGATTCCAATACTGGTTTATGATTTTAAGTAAACTTTAAGCAAATGTATTTGTTGTTTAGGTAACACTTTAGGGACCAATAATCAGTATTAACTAGTTGCTTATTAGCATGCACATTACTAGCATATTTCCTTGTTCTGCATGACCATATTTTAGAGCCCGATATCCTACCTCACACCTACACTTGACAACTAACTTACTATTAATAAGCTGCAAATTAGGAGTTTATTGAGGCAAAAGTCATAGTTAATAGTTAATGGTGAGAATTGGTCCCCAAACTAAAGTCTGACCATTATTTATTTCCTTTATTACAAGTCAAACTAGCCTTAAAGTTTAATCAGGATCCAAAGAAAGATATCACACATTTAGTATGGGCAGTGTTTTCCCCCTTTTACTTAATAATAATAATAATAAATGATCATTTTAATCAGATTATATAATATCAAAGATTTAAATCAAAAACAGAATGTCTGACTTAAGCTTTGTGAAATCATGCTATGTAAAACATTCCAGCAAAAAACAAAACCTCCAAACAGCATAACGTGATAATTGTATAATTTCAAAGATTTAAATCAAAAACAGAATGGTCTGACTTAAGCTTTGTGAAATCATGCTATGTAAAACATTCCAGCACAAAACAAAAGCAGCAGACGGACTGAATGAAAATGCAGATTCTCTCTCAGCTTGTAGGTGGCGCTCATGGAACAGCAGGAATACAGCATTTCCTTGGTTACCGCTGTAAACAAAGCAGCGCTGCACTTATAAATACTACTTTACTAATACTGTTTTGGCATTGCCATCAAAACTTTTCTGAAGACAGTCAGTCCCCTTCGGTGATACGTTCAAATTTATATTTTCTATATTATATTTTGAGCATTGTGAACAGTGAGTTTGCTTTGTCTGCTACAGTATTTTCTCCTCTTTGCTGTCTGTCTTCAGCATCTCTGGCCTCTTTTAACATCCTGTTTACAGACTCGGGCATGATGTACAGTATATTTTTTTATACCTTACAGAAGAAGCACATGAACTTCACATGTGCAATCACATGTTAAAATCACATTTGAAATATGTGAAAAACTCATGTGAAACACATATGATCTGATGACGTTTCCACATGTGATTACAGAGCTTTTCCAGAAGGTCCCAAAAATAACAGAAAAATAAGTACAAAAAATACAGTACAAAGACTGGAGAAATGTAATGTATTTTTGTAATTATTTTCTGTTGTATTCGGGAGCTACTGGGACATTGATAAAGATCTACCAGTCGATCGCGATCGACGGGTTGGCAACCTCTGCTATAGAAGAACATAACTTGAAAGACAACAAGCCATTGGCTTCAAACACAGTCCTGTTCAATAATTAAATAGATTGACAAGCTCTTTGGCTTGAGTAAGGCACCGAATCCCCAACTGCTCCCCGGGCACCCACTGCTCCGGGTGTGTGTGTTCACGGTGTGTGTGTGTTCACTGCTGTGTGTGTGCACTTTGGATGGGTTAAATGCAGAGCACTAATTCAGAGTATGGGTCACCATACTTGGGCACATGTCACATGTCACGTCACTTTAATATCTCCATTCTCACCATTTTTCATCACCAGAGAAGTGAGGGCTACTAGTCAAAAATCATTTAAGACCTTTGGATTCCTGCATTTGCTACAGGAACCACTATAGCATGTTTCCAGATTTGTGGGACAATTTGCATTTTAAGAGACATGTTAAAAAATCTGTGTAAATCTGGTACAGGACTTTTGTTTATCTTTATCCTTTCAAAACACCTAGCCACTGCAGGAACGTCAATATTAAACACTCTGTTGCTTTGCCAAAAATCACTCTTCACATTATCATCATTCATGTTAAATCTTTTTTTCCACATTTTATTATTACACAGACAGATATAAAACACAGAACAATACAGTAAAGAGAACATTGCCTGCATTTTTCTTCCTTATCCCCACGTTTAACCCAACTGAATTAAGTGAATCCAGACCAAAACTAAAACATTACATAACCTCCCCCCAACCCATAAACCCCTCGGGAGGATTGACAAGAAACGGCATTATCTATAATAATACTATATGGAATAAATATTATAATTTATGAAATGTATATAATAAAGTATGTATTCAAATGAGAGAAAAGAGAAAGTAAAAAAACAAACAAAACAATTATACATACAGAAGTATACATGCATACACACACAACCATGCTGTACTGTACAAAACTTTAAACATTTACACACTGAACAAACTCAATCAGAATTTAGTTAGGTCAAAGAAATTTAGAATGTGGTTCCAAATTTTGTAGAATTTAACAGTTGAGCCCTGAATAGTGTACTTCAGTTTTTCTAGAGAAAGGAATGACACGAGATCTTTTAACCAAGAGGTAGTTGGGGCTGGAGTTGGACACTTCCAATGTAGCAAAATACATCTACTAGCAACCAGGGAGGCAAATGCATGAACATCTGCTTGTTGTTTCAAAAGAGTAGAAGAAAACACAGACATACCAAAGATAGCAACCATAGGACATGGAGGGAGAGAAATATGTAGAGCCCTTGAAAGAAAATCAAAAAAGGAAGCCCAGTATGAGGCCAATTTAGGGCAACTAAAAAAAAATTATGAACATGGTCAGCTGGAGAAAATAAGCATCTGATACAAGAGTCATCTGTTTCTGGGAACAATTTTTGAAGTCTAGCTTTGGTAAAGTGGGTTCGGTGCAAAACTTTTAACTGAATCAGCCTTAACCGGGCACAAGCAGAAGTAGAATTAACTCATTAATTAATTAACAAGAGCCTCAGACCAGAGCTCTTCAGAAAAGCTGAGCTCTAACTCTTTCTCCCATGTTGACTTCAAACATAAGAGAGATGAAGATCTAGATGAAAGCAACATGAGATAGATAGAAGAGATAAGGTTACCATCTATAGGGGCTGACAATAAACTCTCAAGCAGGGATTTTTCTGGCAATTGGGGGAAACTAGAGAAATTAGTTCTTACAAAATTACGAAGCTGGAAATACCTGAATAAGTCTGTAGTATGTAAATTATATTTGGATATAAGGTCATTGAAAGTAGCAAAAACATTATCAATGAAAAGATCTGAGAAATGAACAATGCCTTTAATTCGGGCTCAAATTGATAAGGTAATATTGACACCATTGTTGACAATCCCCCGGAACACATGCAACTCCCCGTTATGGTACGGGGCATGATGTTTCTGTACAACGTGCACTAGGTGGTTAGTGAATCACAACACACTGGGCCAGCTAACCAATCTGAGCCCATTGAGTATTTCTGAGGGAGGGGCTTCATAGAACCAGGAAGTCAACAGAACATTTTAGGAAAGGTAAAATATGTGAATTTTTATTTTTTTTTAAACGAAGCCTGGACACATGTTACAGTGCACCCCATA